GAATGTTGTCAACATGAACTTCACTAAAGCATTTGACAAGGTCCCTCATGGTAGGCTGGTCCAGAAAATTAAGTCACATGGGATCCATGGTGAGTTGGTGGCAAGTTGGATACAAAATTGTCTTGATCATAGAAGACACAAGTGTGTTTCTCTGACTGGAGATCTGTGACCAGTGGTATTCTATAAGGATCAGTGCTGGGACCTCTTATTTGTAATATATGTAGGAGGTCGGATTAGTAAGTTTGCAGAAGACATGAAAATTGGTGGAGTTGTAGATAGTGGAGAAGGTTGTCAAAGGATGCTACAATGTAGATCAGTTGGAAAGTTGGCTGGAGAAATGGCAGATGTAATTTAATCTGGACAAGCATAAGGTGATACATTTTTTGAGGTCAAATGCAAGAGGAAAGTATACAGTAAATGGCAGAACTCTTAGGAGCATTGTTATGCAGCAGGATCTTGGGGTGCAAGCCCATTACTCCCTGAAAGTGGCACTGCAAATAGATAAGGTGGTAAAGAAGGCATATAGCATACTTGCCTTTACTGGTTGGGGCATACAGTATAAAAATTGGCAAGTCACGTTGCAGTTGTATAAATCTTTAGTTAAGCCACATGTGGAATAGCATGAGATAACAAGGTGTAGAGCTGGATGAACACAGCAGGCCAAGCAGCATCATAGGAGCAGGAAGGCTGACGTTTCAGGCCTTGAGCAGTTCTGGTTACCACACGATAGGAAGGATGTGAAGACTTTGGAGAGGGTGCAAAAGAGGTTTGCCAGGATGTTGCCTAGATTGGAGTGTATTAGGTGTAACGCGAGGTCAGCAAAACTAGATTGCTTTTGTTAGAGCATCAGAAGCTGAGGGTGAACTTGAAACAAGTATATAAAATTATGAGGGGCCATGGATAGGATGGATCTTGTGAGTCTATTGCCCAGGTTGGAAGTGTCAAATACTAAAGGACATAGGTTTAAGTTCGGGGGGGGGAAAAACTTAGAGATGTGTGAGGGAGAATGTTTTACAAAGAGGGTGGTAGGTACCTGGAATGCACTGCCAGGGGAGATGGTAGGTAGTAGATACGACTGTAATGTTTAAAAGGCTTTCACATGGACACATGAACGAGCTGGGACAAGTGGGATAAGAGGGATACAGGCTACACGCAGGCAGATTGGATTAGATTAGAATGGCATCATGGTCGATACAGACATGGGCCAAAGGGCCTGTTCCTGTGCTGTACTTTTCTACATTCTATTAAACTGAAATAATGTGCAACATTGAGAAGTTGAGGATTAATCAGTGACTCAAAACATTGCACACTGAATAAACTGCATGCTTGCATTTTGTTTCACACTTTTTGTAATCAGGTACAATAATTATAATGGTTTTTGAGAGCTTTAATATATATGATAATATTTGAAGATTACTGAAGATACAGATGAGAAAAATATCATTTAATGATGTGTGATTCTTCCAAAGAATGGATAATTTGTATAAGATAATGGTGGTGAATGTTCGTATTGAGTAGAGTTTATGCAACTTCAATATGATTGCCTTTGGGTGGAGGCAATTAGATTTGACGCTAGCCTTCATAGGGAGATCTGCAGGTTGTCTTCACTTAACATCAGGATTGCTTTCCTTAAAAAGGACTTACATGAAAAGACTTCAATTGAATTCCAATTTCCATTGGAATTGATGTTAAAACTGTATACATGTTCTGCAGGGGCTTCTTTAACAGAAGAACAAACATGACACCTATAGCCCACAAGTTGAAAAAACTACTTTAAATGTTTAATGCCTGATAATTGGTAAATTAAGTAATCATACAATCATAGGGCACGGAAACAGACCAACTAGTCCATGCCGACCAGAGCCCCAAACTAAACTAGTCCCACTTGTCTGTGCTTGGGCCACATCCCTCCAAATATTTCATATTGATGTACTAATCCGAATGTCTTTTAAACTTTAACTATACCCACATCCACCATTTCCTTTGCAAGTTCATTCCACACGTGAACCACTATGCAAAAAAACCTGCCCCTCATTTTTTGTTTTTTTTTTAAAAAAATCTTTCTCCTCTCAACCTAAAAAATATGCTCCCTAGTCTTGAAGTCCCCCACCCTCAGGAAATGACATGCCCATTCAACTTATTTATACCCCTCATGATTCTATTAACCTCTAGAAAGTCACCTCTCAACCTTCTAAACTTCAGTGACAAAAATCCCAGCTTATCCAGCCTCTCCTTATAACTCAAGCCTTCCATTCCCTGCCAATGTCCTGGTAAATCTCCTCCAAACCCCCTCCAGCTTAATAATATCTTTCCTATAACAGGGAGGCCAGAACTGGACACAGTACTCCAGAAGAGGGCTCACCAATGTCCTGTACAACCTCAGCATGACTTCCCAACTCTTATACTCAAAGATCTGAAAGATGTCAAAGCATTGAAGACAAGAGTGCTAAATGTCTTCTTAACCAACATATCTACGTGACACAAACTTTAAAGAATTACGTACCTGAACCCCTAGGCCTCTCTGTTCTGCAACACTATTAAAATTTTAAAACATTAAAATATTCTATCTTATTTCTAGTACCTGCTGGACCTTCCAAGGAGGAGGGGGCGGCACCACTCCCTGGAGTTTTTTTGGGGGGAGTTAGGGAAGGGGTATGCTTGTGGAGTCCTGGGCCATCTGTTGGGATTCTGGCTGCTGATGTTTACAGGACTGCACACCTCTTCTTGCTGGCTGCTGTCTCAGTCTGTTGTGGGGTCCTGTGGTTCTGATCACCAACCTGGGGGTAGAGGGGTGACTACCGAGTGCAGCCAGGAAAGGAAGCACTGCCCAGGTTAGTTGTGGCCACTCTCATCTCCCCAGGGCAATGGTGGTCTGCTCAGCCTTGCTATGGATAGTGGGGATGCTGTTGGACAGCAGTGGCTCAGATCTTGGACAGTGCTATGGCATAGGAAGACGCCACAAGTTGGAAGGTTGGGAGAAGCTTCATGTCAGAGAGGGATAGCTTGCAAAAACAAAAACACCGCCACCAATTGGATTGGCAAAGTACTGCAGTATACAATGCTTAAAAAAAAAATCTTCAGTCATTTAACAGGATTTCCAGTCCTAATAACTTAGAGAAATTAAAGCAAAACAATGCTAACAGAAGCAACATTCAACTGACTTCCTATACCATCTTGTTCAGCTCGCTTTATCTTCAGCTAGTAAATTTGACAGGTCCTAGACATTATTTAACCAAATGAATGTACTAGTTCAAAGAACTCTTACCCTGTGCCACATTCTGATATGAAATGCTAGCAGTGGCAATCAGGCAAATGCCACAAACACTTTAAATGAAACTATTTTCTATAGTAGATGACTCCAATGATACAACTATTCCAAACTGGCCTGTAGACCAAGAATAAATCTAAATCTTGGAGCTGAATTGCAATTGCCGCATGGAAACTGAGTGGTAGCACTGGAACTTCAAGACAACTGTAAATACGGAAAAGCACCTCACTCAAATCTAAGACCTTTATCGGGCATTCCTTAAGATCAATGTCTTATTTGGACAGAAGCCTAATTAGGCCAAAGAGCCCTAACAAAATTCGTTAATGAGAATCAGAGGGAACCAATTCACTGGAGTCACACTTAGTACAAAGGCAAGTGGTGCTGGTTGTTGGAGGCCAATCATCTCAGCTGCTGGATGCCGATGCAGGAATTGCTCAGGGTAGTGTCCTAGGCCAACCATCTTCAGCAGCTTCATCAATCACCCATCCTCAATCATACGTTCAGACAATCCGAATGCTCACAAATGACTGAATAATGTTCAGTACCATTCACAACTCCCAGACATTGAAGCAGCCCATGTCCATATAGAAAAAAAACTTGACAACTTTTGGTTAAGTTGCCAGGACATTTGTGCTGCACAGGTGTTGGGCAATTACTATTCAGGGAGAATCTGATCATCTCCTTTTGAGGCCATCACTGAATCTCATTCCACCTTCATCCCGAGGGGTACCATTGACCAGAAACTCAACTTGTCCATCCCCAGAAATACTGTGGCTACTAAGAACAAGGGATAGAATGCTTCCCATGTCCCTAGTTAAGTGTGGCAAACTCTTAAGAAGCTTAACACCATCTAAGATAAGGCAGCCCACTTGATCAGCACCCCATCCAGCATCTTAAACACCGGCAATTAAAATGTTCCTGGCAGCACCCTCCAAACCCACAACCTTGACCACATGGAAAAACACACAAATAAAGGTAGTCAAGAGGGCATACAGTACGTTTGCCTTCATTGGTCAGGACACAGTCTGAAAATTGGCAAGTCATATTGTAGCTATGTAGAACTTCAGTTTGGCCTCACTTGGAATAATGTGTATAGTTCTGGTCACCAGATTATAAGAAGGGATGTGAAAGCTTTGGATAGGATACAGAATGGTTTATCACATGTTGCCTGGTTTGAAATATATTAGCTATGAGGAGAGACTGGACAAACATGGTTTGTTTTCACTTGAACGCGAAGAATGAGGGGCAACCTGATACAAGTGTACAGAATTAAGACAGGCATGGATAGTCAGAATCTTCCACCCAGAGTAGAAATGTCAATTACTGGGGATCATATGTTTAAGGTGAAAACGACTAAGTTTACAGGAGATGAGAGGCAAGTTTTTTTTTAACACAGATAATGATAAGTGCCTGGCATGTGCTGCAACCTTTGCAGACTGAAGGGACTGTTCCTGTGCTGTATTGTTCTTTATCTTTCCAAACATAGAACACCAGTGCTGTAGAACTATTGCCATGTGTTGTCATTAACATTTATCTTCACTTTTGAATTCATAATGCAATAATCACCACTTTAGTAAACAAGAAGGTTGCAGATACTGGACAAGGGAGGTATTTAATTTCAAATAACTAAATAATGGAGCATTGTGAAAAAGACATAATATATTATGCAAATTAACAAACACATTGAAAGACTATCAAGATTGTGAAATAAACCACACAGGCACAAACTGCGTAGTCTGAATGAGTTTTTAATATTTGCTTATATCTGCAGACAATGTCATATTCTGTTGGTTTTATAGCCATCCCTCCTCAATACAAAAAAAGCTGCAGAAACCATTGCTATATTCGAAATTTAACCTTCCCCAAATTCTAGATGAAAAGTGGCACCATTTTCAAACGATTGTTTGGCTAATTTCTTCATTATTTGGAAGGTTTTAGTGAATAATGTACATTATGTACTATACTTAGGAATGAAGATAGAAAAGTTGAGGTATTTGCACCGTGATCTTATCCTCCAATCAGTTTACCTGTCATTCTTTGCCTGGTCCAGTACAAAGTCAAAAATCACATGATACCGGGTTATAAACCAACAGGTTTATTTGAAATCACAAGCTTTTGGAGCACAGCCCCCTCATCAGGTGCAGTGAGAGAGGAGAAAACATAGACAGAGAGTTAATCGGCAGAGAGATCAAAGGATCATACAACTGGGGTGAGTGGAGTGAACAAACCTAAAATGGCTGACTGACTGCCTCCTGTTGAATCTTTAATCTTTCATACATTCATGCATTCTAGAAATTGCAGAAGCAGGATATGGAGAACTCTGCTAAAAAGGAAATGCAAGTTTCGATTAAGATGCAAATTCCAGAATCTGTTTCAAGTCTCTGCCCGGAGATAATTAAAGGTTTCCATCAGTGTCTGCCTAACTTTCCAAACTTCAAACAGACAGAGTGATAGGAATATATAAAAGGTAACATCTCAGGTCACACACTGAATTGTAGGTGTGAGGCCTTGTTCAGAATCTGTCTTCAGAGTTTTAATCTGGAGTCAGGCTGGTTTTATTCCAAAAGCAGGAATTTATAAAATACCACACTTACTGACTGACAACGAATTGTGTGTTTCTTGAACGCAAAAACAAACACAAACCTGTACGGTGAATCATTTCATCCATGTTTGTTTATTTGCAGATACTTTCCATTTCATTCAAGAAACTTGTTTGAAGTTTGGAAAGTTAGGCAGACAATGATGAAACCTTTAATTATTCTCAGGGCAGTGACTTGAAACAGATTCTGGAATTTGCATCTTAAATCGAAACTGGTGTCTCCTTTCTAACAGAGTTCTCCTTACCCTGCTTCTGCAATTTCTACAATGCAGGAATGTATGAATGATTAAAGATTCAACAGGAGGCAGACAGTCAGCCATTTTAAGTTTGTTCACTCCACTCACACCAGTTATATGATGCTTTGATTTGTCTGCCTATAGAATCTGTGCTGTGTGCTCTCCTCTCACTCCACCTGATGAAGAGGCTGCTTGTGATTTCAAATAAACCTGTTGGACTATAACTTGGTGTCACGTGATTTTTGACTTTGTCCACGCCAGTCTAACACCAGCACCTCCACATCATGGTCCAGTACAAGTACTTATTAAATCAAGAGGCAAACCTAGACTGTGCACATGGTAACACACTAAAGTAGTCAATTCTGGTTTTGACAACAGTACTTGAGATGAACAGCATGGAACACCTCATTACGCAGCTTTCAGAAACTGAAAGTAAATCTACTATCTCATTTGCTGACATTCTTAGAATTACTGAAATTAGCTACAGATAATCATAGACATTGGTGTTTTCAATTTTCCACCTTAATTGGATACAAAAATACATGCATATATAGTATGGTTATGTACCTATACTCTATCACAATCTCAATACTGAGAAGTTAAGACGAACAGTACCATCAACATTTTGAATATATCACACACCCAGTTCCCACTCCATTAAGCACAAAGTATTAAAATTTAATCGTACAGTTCTAAATGTGCAAATATCATGCAAGTGCTTAAAATTATTTTCATTCCATTGGGCTTAAAATAAGCTTGAGCACAGTAAAATGCAAGATAATGTTTCACTGACACATTACCTTATTATTGCTACTCAACCAAAACATTTTGGAAAGTGCTTAAATATTGCTACAAAATTCTAACTTTCCAATTAGTTTGTAATGTTTAATTTAGATTAATGCATCTTGGCTGTTAAGCACAATAAATGGTGATAGCTACAATGAGGTTCAAATTGTGATTTTGCACAGTGCGTTCTTTTTAAGCTGTTATCAGCTTTTCAAACATCAAGCTCGAAGTTCAGACTTATGCACTGTTGGGTCATAACATTTTACAGCAAGTTTCAGATCAGTGCAAATATTGCTAATAGCCAAAGAAGCAGAAATACTCACGTCAGTTAATCTCACAGCCACATTAGATCATGAATTTAAAACACTTTTATACTAATCACTTAAGCACAATAAAGGATATGAGATTACATAACACTTCACGTCACAACTGTCCTGTCCCACTGATGTGATCAACTGCTTTTAATTGGATCACAAACTGTACATTAAAATGGCAAATGGTATTAAATACTATGGAGGGACACAAAAGGAACACCTTTAGCTCATGTATTGCAATCGTCAAGGGAAAAAATACTGCACTTCACAGCTCATATAGTACTTCTAGGATGGTAGCTAGTGACCAGGCTTGAGTTTCACAGCTAAACGGACAGTACCCTCCATTTTCATTTGTAAGCTCTGGAAGACCCTTCCAGGGAGATCTGCAAAATGGGAAATAAAACAAAACAGTAAATATGAAGACTGCAACTGATAGAATTAGATTTTCTTTAATCTATTTTTTTGAGAGAATGACATGGCCAACAGCTGTTTTAAAACTTTAAGCAAAAGTGTGCCAAAATAGGTCATATCTAAACACGTCATGTTGGGTTATCAATCAGTTGGCAAATTATGATTACTGTATGAGTTACAAGGATTCAAACAAAAACTAAGAGTAGACCACTCTGCCCTTTCGGCCTGCACTGACATTCAGTAATAGCTGATCAGATTTTAACCTGACCTGTACATTATTTTCATATCGATAAGGTTTCATCCCCATGGCAATCAAAAATTTGCCCTTGCCTTAAAAATATTTAAAGATTCTGAATTCAATGCCTTTTGAAAAAGAGAATTCCAGAGACTCAAAAACCCCAGAAAAAAAAATGCTTTTTCATCTTGGTCTTAAATGGGTGACCTCTTGTTTTTAAACTATGATTCTCGATTCTCCAAGAGGAAATATCCTTTTGACATCCACCTGGTTAAGTCCCCTCAGGATCTTGTATGTTTCAATTAAGTCACCTCTGACTCTTCTAAACTCCAGAAGATACAGGCCAAGCCTCCCTAGGCTTTCTTCATAAGGCAAGCTGTTCATTCCAGGTATTAGTCTACTAAACCTTCTATGAACTGCTTCCAATGCTTTAACATCTGTCCATAAGTACAGTAACCAGTATTCCAGATGCAGTCTGACCAGTGTCCTGTACAACTGAAGCATAACATCCCTACTCTTGCATTCAATTCTGCTCACAATAAAACATAACACTATTAGTTTTCCTGATTATTTGCTGTACCTGAATATTAACCTTCTGCGATTCATGCACTAGGACACCCAGAGCTCTCTGGCTATCACAGAAACTTGGGTAACTCGGGGACAGGAATGGTTGTTGGAAATTCTGGGATTTAGATGCTTTAAAAGAAATAGGGAGTGTGGAAAAAGAGGCAGGGGAGTGGCATTGCTAGTCAGGGCTAGTATAGCACTACTGAAAGGCAGTTCGAGAATGATATGTCTACAGAGTCAGTTTGGGTTGAGATCAGGAACAAGAAAGGAGCAGTCACGTTGTTGGTTTTTTTTTTTAAAAACAGACCCCCTAATAGTTGCAGAGAAGTGGAGGAGCAGATTGGGAGGCAGATACTGGAAAGGTGCAGAAGTCACAGGGTTGTAGTCATGGGTGACTTCAACTTTCCAAATATTGATTGGAAACTTTTTAGTTACAATAGTTTAGCTGGAGCGGATTTTGTCCAGTGCGTCCAGGAAGGATTCCTGACACAGTACATGGATAGATCAACATGAGGAGAGGCCACTTTGGATTTGGTGCTTGGCAATGAACCGGGCCAAGTGTTAGACCTGTTGGTAGGAGAGCATTTTGGCCGTAGCGATCATAACTCTGTTACTTTTACAATAGTCATGGAAAAGGATAGGTACATACAGCAGGGCAAGGTTTATAATTGGGGGAGGGTAATTACAATTCTGTTAGGGAAGAACTGGGTAACATAAAATGGGAACAGAAACTGTCAGGGAAGAGCACTATTGAAATGTGGAGATTGTTTAAGGAATGCATACTGTGTGTGCTCGATGTGTTTGTCCCTAGCAGGCAGGGAAGATGCGGTCAAGTGAGGGAGCCTTGGTTCTCAAAAGAGATCGAACGACTGGTTAAGAGGAAGAAGGATGCTTATATAAGGTTTAGGAAACCAGGAATGGAAAAGGCTCTAGAGGGATACAAGTAATCCAGGAAGGAGCTGAAGAAAGGGCTTAGGAGAGCTATAAGGGGGCATGTGAAAACCTTGGCAGATAGGATCAAGGAAAACTCCAAGGCTTTTTACACGTACGTGAGGAATAAGAGAATGACCAGAGAAAGGGTAGGGCCGATCAAGGATTGTAAAGGGAGTTTGTTCTCGGAGCCTAAAGAAATAGCAGAGGTCCTCAATGAATACTTTTCTTCAGTATTCACAACTGAGAGGGACCTAGTTGTAGAGAAGGTCAGACTGATAGGCTAGAGGAGGTCGATGTTAGCAAGGAAGATGTACTAGGAATTTTGAGGAAGTTGAAGATAGATAAGTCCCCCGGGCCTGATGGGATTTATCCAAGGATTCTATGGGAAGTGAGGGAAGAGATTGTAGGGCCTTTGGCGATGATCTTTTTGTCCTCACTGTCCATGGGTATAGTGCCAGAAGATTGGAGAGGCAAACGTCATTCCCTTGTTCAAAAAAGGGAATAGGGATAACCCTGGAAATTACAAGCCAGTTAGTCTTACGTCAGTGGTGGGCAAATTATTGGAAAGGGCTCGGAGAGATAGGATTTATGATCACTTGGAAAGGCACGGTTTGATTCGTGATAGTCAGCATGGATTTGTGAGGGGTAGATCATGCCTCACAAACCTTACTGAATTCTTTGAAGAGGTGATCAAACACGTGGATGAAGGTAGAGCAGTGGATGCGCTAACATGGATTTAAGTAAGGCGTTTGATAAGGTTCCCCATGGTAGGCTCACACAGAAGGTAAGGAGGCATGGGATAGGGGGAAATGTGGCAAATGTGGCAAATTGGATTCAGAATTGGCTGACCCTTAGAAGACAAAGGGTGGTAGTGGACGGAAAATATTCAACATGGTGCTCAGTTACGAGTGGTGTACCACAAGAATCTGTCCTGGGTCCTCTTCTATTTGTGATTTTTGTAAATGATTTGGATGAAGGAGTGGAAGGGTGGATTAGTAAGTTCGCGGATGATACGAAGGTGGGTCAGTTGTGGATAGTGCGGAGGGCTGTTCTAGGTTACAAAGGGACATTGATAGTATGCAGAGCTGGGCTGAGAAGTGGCAGATGGAGTTTAACCCTGAAAAGTGTTAGGTAATAATTTTGGAAGGACGAACTTGAAAGCAGAATACAGGGTTAATGGAAAGATTCTTGGCAGTGTGGAGGAGCAGAGGGATCTTGGGGTTCATGTCCACAGTTCCCTGAAAGCTGCCACCCAGGTGGATAGAGTTGTTAAGGCGGCGTATGGTGTGTTAGCTTTCATTAATAGAGGGATTGAGTTCAAGAGCCGTGAAGCCTGGTTCGGCCACATCTGGAGTATTGTGTCCAGTTCTGGTCGCCTCATTACAGGAAAGATGTGGAAGCGTCGGAAAAGGTGCAGAGGTGATTTACCAGGATGTTGCCTGGAATAGAGGGAAGGTCTTACGAGGAAAGGTTGAGAGCGCTAGGGCTTTTCTCTTTCGAACGACGAAGGATGAGAGGTGACTTGATAGAGGTGTACAAAATGATCAGAGGTATAGATAGAGTGGACAGCCAGAGACTTTTTCCTAGGGCAGAGGTAACTATTACGAGGGGGCATAGTTTTAAAGTGAGTGGAGGTAGATATAGGGGAGACGTCAGAGGTAGGTTCTTTATTCAGAGAGTCGTAGGGGCGTGGAATGCATTGCTGGAGAGGGTAGTGGAGTTGGCCTCATTAGGGGCATTTAAGCGGCTATTAGATAGGCATATGGATGATAGTGTAAAGTAGGGGTAGAGGTTAGATATACCTTAGGATTAGGGTAAAAGTTCAGCATAACATCATGGGCCGAAGGGCCTGTACTGTGCTATGTTCTATGCATCTTGGAGCTCTGTAACCTCTCACAATTTAGATGATATACTTCCTTTTTATTCTTTCTACCAAAATGGACAATTTCACACTTTTTCACATTGTATTCCATTTGGCAGATCTTTGCCCACTCACTTAACCTATCGACATCCCTTTGTAGACTCCTTATGTCCCCTTCATATCTCACTTTCCTGTCTTCAGAACTTTCCTGTTATCAGCAAATTTAGTTATCATACACTGGGTCCTTTCATCCTAGCAATGTGTATAAATTGCAAAGAGTTCAGACCCCAGCACTGACCATTGAGGCATAACACTCATGACATCCAGCCATCCTGAAAAAGACCCATTTATTCCTACACTCTACTCTGTTACACAGCCAGTCTTCTATCCACATCAATATGAAATTGCCACTATACCGTGAGCTTCAATTTTCCTCAACAACCTTTGACACGGCACTTTATCAAATGCTGTATGAAATCTAAATACAATACATCCACTGTTTCCCCTTTATCTATAACACTAGTTAGAGTCATTGAGGTCTACAGCACAGAAAAATGCCGTTTGACCCACTATCTATATGATAAAAAATAAGCATTTATTCTAATCCCATTTCCCAGCATTTGGCTCATAGCTTTTCATACCATGGCACTGCAGGTGTACATCTAAATACTGTTTAAACGTTATGGGGGTTTGTCTCTAAAATACTCGCAGGCAGCAAGTTCCAGATTCCCACCACACACTGGCTGGAAAAAAATGTTCCTCACATCTCCTCTAAATCTCCTGCCCCTTACCTTAAGGCTAAGCCTCTGGTCATTGATCCCTCCACCAAGGAGGAAAGTTCCTTTCTCTCTACTCTAACTATGACCCTCAATTTTATACATCTCAGTCATGTTCCCCTCAGTTTTTTAAGATCCAAGGAAAACAAGAACAAGAACAAAAACAGAAGTTGCTGAAAATGTTCAGCGGCTCTGACAGCATCTGTGACGAAAAAAATCAAAGTTGATTAAACTCTGATTTTTTTTTTTCTTCAGATGCTGCCAGACTGGCTGAGCATTTCCAGCAACTTCTGTTTTTGTTCCTGATTTATAGTATCCACAGTTCTTTCGGTTTTTATCCAAGGAAAACAATTCCAGTCTGTCAGTCAATCTCTCCACATACCTAGAACTCTCTAGACCAGGCAACAGCCTCGTATATCTCCTCTGCACCGTCTCCAGTGCAACTACATCCCTATTCTAATATGAACTCCAGAACTGGACATAATACTCTGGCTGTGGCCCAACCAACTTTTTCTACAGTTTCAACATAACCAAAATTTGTCCTTTGAAACACAAATACAAGTCAGATTAAGTTACAAAATGATTTAATATACAGCTGGATGTTAGAGTAATATTGCTCAAGATAAAAGATTTTTTCAAGGAAGTTTGCATTATGTAGCCATTTTAAAATTACTGGCTTACTTTTCCAAGTAATCATAATGACGAGAAAGAATATTCTTCACTAAATATTTTGTGTCTTCATACAAATCCTGGTCCATCATTTTTGAAAATTGCAACTTTGCACGTAGGAAATAACCAAGAGGCCACAGCCATTCCTGAAAACAAAAATAAAACATACCATTTTGTTATAATACAACAAAGAGTATTACATTGAAGGTGATGAAACATTGTATAAATAATTACCGGTCCTTGGTGGTAGTTATAGCCTCTTGATACGTTGAAGTTGCCATTGTCGAAAGAGTTATCATATACACCACAGTAAACTTGGTCACTAACCAGACAGGAAAACAAATATTACTATCTCTGTTAAGACCCATTAGGAAGGGAGTCCAGGTTGGGTAACCACAGAAAATGGATAGCCATGAACAGGTTACCAAAGAAACATCTCAACAATTTTGTACTGTCATGTCTTTTTGTAAAAACTGTACTTTATGGCTACTAGTATACATTTCAGCAATTGTTCGTTTTCATTAACAATATTCATTTGATTGGAAACTAGGACTAATTTTAGCAACAATTTAACTTACTCTGGGTCTAATGTTTTCAATCCCAGGGGTCCAAGCAGCTTCTCCTCTACAACTTTTAAAGCTTTCCATGCTTTTTCTGGGGTAAAAAGCTCAGGGGCCTGAAAATGAAAGGAGTTGATTTTATTACAGTAATCAAAGCTTTATTTAAGCGTTCATATCATTTTAGATAACTCAAAAAAAGGAGTGTTGTGAGATCTCACAACTGAGTGGAACAGCAAAATCAATGGCAACAAACTCAGAATTTAGCACTAATAACACAAATGATGACCGATCAACTACTTACGTAGGTAATTCACATGATAAGCCAATCTCCATCAAGATTTAAAATATGGCATGAATTCAGAATAAAATGCTACAAATACTCTGCACAAAAGTCAGCATCTGCAGGGAGGGAAACACAAGCACACTGACCTGAAATGTTAACTCAGTTTCTCACATCACGTATGCTACCTGACCTGCAGAATATGTCCAGCATTTTCTGTGCATAAATTGCAGCATCTTTACTGACATTTTTCGATTCAAGTGTTGTGCAAAAGCAATGAAATTTATTCTGTGAAATTCAATCACTTACCACAACCATAGCTATAGGGAAATTTGGTCTTAGTTGATAGTCACACCATGGGCTGGAAGCACCAAAGCTGTCTTTGTAAATGTTTTTTTTGTGGACCAAGTTGGGAGACCTTTCATTGGGATCATCTGGATCTTCAGAAACGAAGAAGTTCTTTTCAAAGTTCTCCATTATTTTTTCGTTCCACTCCTCATACATTATAAATATTTCTTTTCCTGTAGAGTACAATATATTTCACTAAACCATTTTGCAGGTTTGGGAAAAAATAAAACTTATTTTGCAAACCCTATAATTTAATGAAGCGTGCATCTCATGACTAAATTTCCAGCTATGACTGACACTTGACTGGATGAGCGTAGCTCCAACAACTCTCAAGGAGCCGGACACCTTCTAGAACAAAGAAGCCCTCTTTATTGGCACCACATCCACTACCTTCACCACCAACACCCAGCAGCAGCAGTGTGTACCATCTACAAGATGCACTGCAGAAATTCACCATGGCTCCTTGGATAGCACCATCGAGAAGGCCAAGGGCAACAGATGCATATTAAATTGAAAATTTATTGCTGTTCCTTCAATGTCATTAGGTCAAAGTCCTGGAACTCCCTCTCCAATAGTATTATGGGTCTACCTACAGCAAATGGACTGTGGTGATTCAAGAAATGGAGGTGCTGGTGTTGGACAGGGGTGGACAAAGTCAGAACTCTCACAATACCAGGTTATGGTCCAACAGGTTTATTTGAAACCAGAAACTTTCAGAGCATCACCTGATGAAGGGGCTAAGTGGAAGGGGCTACACTCCAAAAGCTTGTGATTTCAAATAAACTTGTTGGACTATAAACCTGGTGTCGTGTGACTTCTGACCTGGTTCAAGAATGCAGCTTGTCACCACCTTCTCAAGAACAATAAATGCTGGGCCAGGCCATTCAATGAGTGAAATTTTAAAAATTCATGAATGATAATTAATTTTCACAATTGAAGTAACTATCGTACAGACAGCCATGCGTTGATGCATTCTTCTGATTATAATGTTTAACTGGATTTGACTAACATTAACATGAAATGGACTGTTAAAATAATTGTGCATAATCAGAAGTAATTTTCAATTCTGCCATTTGAGGCAAAAACAATAGTGTAGATTTCAAAAGAACACAAATAGAAAAGACTCTTAACAGGTGGAGGATTCACTACACCAAATTACAGGTAAGGTGTAAAAACTAGGATTATACGCACTGGCTGCAAAAGTTCAGGGACAATTTACAGTTTAAGCTATTGAAGAGAACTGATAGGTTACAGAGGAAGAAAATATTTCTGTTCGCCAAGTCTTGGACCAGGGTACATTGTATTTTTTATTTTATTCACAGATTTGTTAAGAATGAAACTGAGAAAAATGTCCAGAAACAGGGCTATAGAAGTTTGAAACTTGCTTCTGCAAACAGGAGGTAATCAATTGTTAAATTTAGAACAGATTGATACATTTTTGTTCATTAATTTGAGGGATAATGGGATAAAGTAGGATATATGGTATTATGTCAAAATCAGGTACAATCTCATTGAATGACAGAATAGGCTCAAGGGACTAAACAATCCACTTGTTCCTCTGCACTGAAACTCAGCCACTAATGGGATTGGAAAAGGATACAAAGTGAAAATTGGAGGAATGAAATGTTTGATAAAATACAAGATTACAGCAGGAAGTGTTCGTATGGGGCAAGCTCATAGAGGGATGCAAAGACAAAGTTGAGAATTTTAAATTTTAGAACAGGAACTGGTAGCCAAGATTAGACAGCAAAGATGAGCAGAATTCATTGTGTGGTAGAATATATGCAGCAAAGAATTAGAGATTGCAATTCATGAAGGGTGTTTGACAGAAGGCCATGAAGAAGAGATTCAGTTGTCAAACTTGAAGATGACGAAGTCAGAGATGAAGATTTCAGCAGCAAAAGGGCAGAGGCAGGTGAGAGTGTACAGACTTGGTGACTAAACCTCAACTCAGATTTCAACAAGATACCAAGGATTACAAACTGACTCAGTAGAGGAAGGCAGGATCAGTAGCAAGAGAACAATGATTTCAGTGGGGGCTGAAGACAAAGTGTAAGTAAATGTGAAGTCGGTTAGGCCACAGCTAGAGCATTGTATGCAGTTCTGGAATCCACAATAATAGGAGGGATATGTCTGCACTGGAGAGACTGCAGAAGAGATTTACCAGAATGTTGCCTGGACTGGGGAGTTTTAGTTCTGAAGAGAAATTGGCTAACATGATTGAGATCTATAAAATTACAGGGCGCATAGACAGAGTAGGCAGGAAAGAAACCTTTCCCCTTGAAGGGGGGATCAATGGCTAGGGCATAGTTTTAAGGTAAAGGGGCAAAAGGTTTTGGGGCGATGTGAGGGAAAATATTTTCACCCAGAGGGTGCTGGGAATCTGGAACTTACAGACAATAAAGGGTGGTACAGGAAAAACCCTCATAACATTTAAGTAGTACTTAGATTTACATTTGCGAGATCCAGGCTGGAAAATAGGATTTGAAAGTTATGTAGCAGTTTTTGACTAGAACAGACTCGATGGGTCGAAGGGTATTTTTTCCATAATGTAGACCTCTACGATTGTTATTTACTTGGGCTTTAATCATTTACAGTTTATGATGTTATCTTTCCCATCCTCACCCTAAGAGGAGGACCTTAAGGCTAAATAATGGACAAAGATATCTGCCCTCCTCTAATTCTGGCCTCTTGAGCATTACAGATTTAAATCACTCCATCATCAGTGGCTGTGTGCCATCAGTTGCCTATGGTCCAAGGTCCAGAATATTTTGCCTGCATCTTTCTTCTTGACTTCTCTTTTCTCCTTTACCAGACTCAAAACCCTCCCAGCTGCTTCAGCAACAATCTTCCCTCCATTGTAAATTCAGAAGTAGGGATTGTCACCAATGATTACACAATGTTCAGCACCATTCATGACTCCTCAAAGTGAAGCAGTCCATCATCAAATTAAGCAAAACTTGGAATATATCCAGGTTTGGGCTGACAAATGGCAATCAACATTTTTGTCACACAAATGCCAGGCTATGACAATCTCCAATAAGAGACAACCTAACCACTGCCTCATGACATTCAATGGTGTTACCGGCAAGGAATCCCCCACTATCAACAGCATGGGAATTACCACTGACCAGAAACTCAACTGGACTCATCATGTAAATGCAGTCACTACAACAGCAGGTCCCAGGTTAGAATGCTGTATTGAGTAACTCATCCCCTAATTTCCCACAGCGTGTCCAGCATTCACAAGGCACAAGTCAGGAGTGTGATGGAATACTCCCCACTTGGCTGGGTGAGTGCAGCTCCAACAACACCGAAGAAAATGATACCATCCAGAACAAAGCAGCTTGCTTGATTAGCACCACATCCACAAGCATCCATGCCCTCTGCCACTGATGCTCAGTAGCTGCAGCATCTATCATCTACATGATGCACTGCAGAAATTCACCAAAGATCCTTAGACGGCATCTTCCAAACCCATGACCATTTCCATCTAGAAGGACAAGGGCAGCAGATATACGGGAACACCATCAACTGCAAGTTACCTTCCAAGTCACTCACCATCCTGACTTGGAAACATATCACCTTCAATGTTGCCAGTTCACAATCCTGGAATTCCCTCCCTAACGGCATTGTGGGTCTATAGTAAAGACTGCAACGGTTCAAGGAGGCAACTCACCACGACCTTCAAGGGCAATTCGGCACAGCCAAATGCTGGCCAGCCAGTGATGCACATGTCCAACAGGTGAATAATAAAAAGAAAAATTGCTCTCCCCTTTGGTCATCTGGCACAATTTCTTGTGTCTTGATGCCACATTTTGTTTTATAATATTCTAGTGAAGCAGTTTGTAATGGTTTATAGTGTTAAAGGTGCAAAATAAATATGAAGGTCAAAGTTTCAAAGCTGGTAAGCACGAGATCTTCAGCATTGTTGAGAGAGGAAGCAATATAAAAATCAGGGGAGTAGTAAACTGTAATTAGTAAACTATACAGAGCAAATAGTGAGACTCCAGCTGGAGAGCTGAACAAATCTGGATTTGACACTTTGAGAAGGTCTTGGAGGTAGTGTGGTCAAGATTTTCTAGACTAGTATCAATGCTGAGGGAGTTCTGTAATGTAGAGAAACGAGAGAAGATGGGATTGTCCTTAAAGCAGAAAAGGCATACAATACAAATACTCAAAACCATGAACAGTTTTGATGAAATAAACAGAAACTGTTACCAGTGACAGAAGGGTTGGCATCCAGAGACAGATTTACCACTGAAAACAAAATACACATTTTTCCAAAGCTACCCAGCTTGTACAGGACAGTCTTCAAGAATACCAATGAACCAGCTCATTTTATTGACTTGTAACAGTTTCAGCTAAGTTTGGGTTTAAACTCAAACAAAATGGGTGCCAGCCATTCACTGTACATATTGTCAGGACAATGCCTTGACAATACTTTAAATTTTGAACAAGGCAAATTTACAATGTTGCAGTTAAGTGCCAATCATCAATAACTGGTGTATTTCCCATTTAATGCTTCTATTATGTTAGCTTTTCCGTTAAATTGGTATTTCTAAAAATCATCCCTGTGAATGCGAGATAAAAAGCTTCAATAAATATGACTTTTTCAGTAATATTCTAGTCCCATGCTACCAAGCAATAATTTATAGACAATTCATGATGATTCATTACAGAAAATGTGACAACTTTTTTTTCCAAAAAGGAGGCCAAAACTGCTGCGCTCTAAAATGCACTGCCTGAAATGTTGTAGTTTCAAATTAACAATTGTCCCATAGATAAAAGAAAGAATTGGATAAGTCACCAAAATGAAGAAACATTTATTGGCTTAAGGAAAAGGGGAGGGAAGTGTGAATAAATGGATAGTGCGATCAAACAGCTGACACAGGGATAATGGGTCAAATGTCTCGATGTTGTGTCATGCTATAATTTTTAAAACATCCAGAATAATACGACTTAAAAATTTCAGGTCAGGGACTAATAGTAATGTGTAGCAAATACTTCAGAATATAAAATAAATCTACTTTAGGAACTGATCAAGATTCATAGGAATAATAGCACATGACTGTTGCATTCAATCCCTCGAATACATTCCAGCATTCTACTGGATCATGGCCGGTCTGTAACAACTCCATTTACCACCCTATAACTGAAATCCCTTGATATTATTTTTCTCTCTAAATTCCTGGAAAAAATCAAAGTGGTCTGATTAAATCATGGCAACTATGTATATAGATTAACTTTCTCACCATCTTTATATGCCTTCACTCCATTGTAAGGGAACAGGGATTTTTTATTCAGTTCCATCAACCAGCGAATAGTTGATTTACTGAGGCCAACTATTTCAACAGCAGATCCATCTCTGCAAAGTAAAAACATTTCAGCTGGTCAGTTTATGGGATCAGATATTTCCCTGAAGGATAGATCATTGGAGAAAACTTAAGACTTGCATTTATATAGTGGTAATGTTTTAAAAACTTACCTCTTCTAAAGGCTTCAGAAATAAAGGAGAAGGTTTCTGAAGGATAATTTAAAGCTTTGTTAAAGAGGTAGGTCTTGAAGGTGATCTTAAAAAGCAGCAAAGAAAGGTGGAGAGAAAGGGAGGTTTTAGAAGAAATTCCAGAGTGTGGGGTCTCTCAGTGGTTGACAGCACAGCTGGATAAGGAATGAGGAGCAGGTTGACATAACAGGCCAGAGTCAGTTAAGCAGTGTTTGATAAGGGATAGGCTGTGGAATTTGTGTTTTTATCCCCATTACAATTTGCTTTAAAAAACAAAGTTAGGATGATCTCTTTGGGAACATTTGTTTTATTGGCCACCCTTAGTTATCCTACCGTTTGAGATATTTGTGTAATATATGGCTCCAAACAAGGATAGGGCAGATCAGATATGATGTCAGGTGCTTTTCCCAAGAAAGAATTGTGAAATCCAACTAAAGTAATAACATTTGGCAGCTTTTATTGACACTTAGTTTTAGTGCTAGTTCACTTTGAACTTCTCCTCAGACAGCAATTTATTGTGTACATTTGAAGAATAATTTCACAAGACTGTGCTGTTGACAGGTATCTTGCTCAATATGGTAAATTTATCAAGAGGCACAGAAGAACGTTGTTCAATTTCACAATGGGTGTAAAGGACAATCCATGGTGATTATTGGGAGAGGTGGCATGGACAGTCTAGGGCAAGTGGTGGCTAGTGGCTTGCATGGGTTGGCATGAGTTGCCACTATCTTGGTATAAGATTATAAAGGGGACAGAAAGGGAGGGATAACGTAGAAACAGAAGATAGGAGTAGGAGTACACCATTCAACTTTAAGTCTGTTCTGCCATTCAATATGATCATGACTGATGACTTATATCAATACCCTAATCCCACTTCCTATCCCTTCAGACACAAGAGCTATATCTACCTCCTTCTTGAAAACACAATATTTTGGCCTCAACCACTTTGTGGTTGCAAATTCTACAGGCTCACCACTCTCTGGGTGAAGAAATTTCTCCTCAACTCAGTCCTAAATGACTGACCCCTTATCCTTAAACAATGACCCCGTTCCGGACTCAACCAGAATCAGGAACGTCATTCCTGCATCTAACCTGTCTTGTCTTGTTAAAATTTTAAGTTTCCACACAGTTCCCATTTCCCTCCATCCTTCTAAACCTCAATGATACAATTCTAACCAATTCAATCTCTCATGTGTTAGTCCTGCTATCCCAAGAATCAATTTGGTAAACCTTCACTGCCTCTCTCGATAGCAAGAGCATCGATCTGCACAGGAGACCAAAACTGCATACAATATTCCAGGTGTGGTCTCACCGGTGTCCTGTGTAGTTGCAGCAAGATATCCCTGTTCCTGCACTCAAATTCTCTCACCGCAAAGGCAACAGACTGTTTGCCTCCTTTACTGCCAGTTAAACCTGTATGCTTACTTTCAGCAACTTGTGCACGTGGACACCCAGGTCTTATTGAGCATTCCCCACTTCCAAATAATAACCTGCCTTCCTATTTTTGCTACCAAAGTGACTAAGAGGGATGTGTTGGGGTATGGGGAAGCAAAATTTGCAGGTGAGTGCTGATTTTTATTATGTATTTTTCTTCACAGAATGCCAGAGCATCAGGACTGACATTTCACCAGCACCACTCTGCATCTAGCAGTGTTTAAGTTTTCATTTTCACCCACACCCACTCTCAGTGAAAATCTGATGTTCCAGGGCATTTTCTCCTGGGTCATATTTGTGGAACCTCTGGATCTGCATTCTCGACCCTGGAGAGATGTTTGAGGCTAATGTCTCCAGGTTTCCTGATGTTAAATTGGAAGGTAACTGTCTGGCATCCAGTTCAGGTTGTCTGGAAACCAAAAGGGGAATGTTTCTTGGAGGTGGAGAGGCAGAGCTGAATGTCATCTGCTTACTGGAGCAATCTGGCACTGATTTTGAACAATGTCAACTACTAACATGTAGATGAGAAATAGCAAGGATAGATCCTTAGGGGGCTCCAGAAGTAATGGTGTGGGAATGTGAAGTGAAACTATTGCAGGAGATCTTTCCTGACCTACAGAACAAGAATAAAATTAGGCAAGGGCAATGTTTCTATTATGGCCACAGAGGGGAGAGGTTGAAGGTGGTTAGTGTTTTCAACTGTGTCATAGGCCACAGACTACTCCAGAATGAGGAAGTTAGAGTCTATCAGAGTCACATTACATTTGTGGTTTTAAGGACCGTTTAGGTGCAAAAACTTGGAGTGATTCAAATATGGAGTGACAGGAAAGATGGGAGGAATCTGGAAGTGACGACGTCAAGGGCGGTTAGAGAAGCTACAGTTTGAGAGAAGAGGGATAATGTTCAAATTGTATGTAAATGAATAACGGTAAAAAGAGGAAACAGTACATAAGAGGAAATTGCTTGCAGTAACAGATAACAGGGTCTGGTACAGACGTTAGGGGGTCAGGAAGTTAGTGGTAAATAGGCTTGAGAAAGTAGAGAATGGATCTCTGAGAGGGCAAGCTTGGTGAGGGTTTCTGAGGAAATAGGAGTGGAACAAAAAGAAAATAAAGTGCACCACATGTTTGTTCTTCTCTTCTCAAAAATACTTGCAGTCAAGTATCTATCCTAAGATATTTACTGATTATAACAGCTTCTGAAGGAAAAAAATACAACTGAGCTAACCTAAGGAAATTAAGCAACTCGAGGGTCATGCAGGTCAGTCAACTTTATCCCCATTGCAGATTGACTCGACTAGTAACAGTTGCAAGCACAATTTTGCACTAACCACTGTGCAGATGTTTTTAAATATCAAATTAGATTTAAGAAATACAAAGATAAAATTAATTTCTATTAATATTTACAATTTTGGTTCAGCAGTTTCACAAAAGTGATTGCAGAAAACAAAGTACACAACATTTAAAAAAAATTGGTCCTTGATTTGAAGTTCCATATCTTCAATCTCATTTTATGGACACTTTTACCTTGGTGTAGCTGGAATTCCTTTATTTTGAGCTATTTCACTCTCCCCCATTTTGTCCATCCAAGTGCCACAGTTGTATCGCTGCCCTCCAAAAACAAAGCCTGTTTCTTGGTTCACCCCTATAGCAACGTTGAAACCTTCAACAGAAGTAACCAACACATTACATGTAATGTCTCAAATTATTTACAGTATATTATTTGCAAGAATTGGAAATGTAGCAGAAATACCTTCATCTTTCATGTGTGAATCCATGTGAGGTCCAGCATTTCTTTCTCTATACTGTACACCTTCCATATGGCGCTGCATGACCTCCTGAATGACATCATACAGGGGCTGTTCCTGGTTTGAATGATATCACAAAACATATTATAGACAAGTTTATTTTTTCTTTTAAAAACATTTTAAATTAGTATTCATTTATTATTTCTAGTTAAACTTTTACTCCTGACTCTGGTTTAAACAAATACCCGAAATACAAGAGGCCTAGTTCTGCACCAGTGGCAAATGAACAGTATCAGAAACACAAAAACAGAAAATAGGATCAGGAAAGGCCTTTCAACCCCTTGAGTTTGTCCCACTATTCAACATCATATGGCTCATTACTGAGCTCAATGTCCTAATCCCTCCCTCTTCCCATATCCTTTTAGCCATAAAAGGCTATATCTACCTCCTCCCCGAAAACACAATGTTTTCTGTGAAAACACAACCAGTTTCTTTGGAGTGAATTCCACAGGCCCGCCACTCTCTGGTTGAAGAAATTTCTCCTTAGATCAGTGCTAAAAGTTTAAGTAAGAGAGATAAACCTATGACTCCTGGTTCTGGATTCCACCAACATCAGGAGCATGCTTCCTGCATCAACCCTGTCCAGTACTGTTAGAATTTTATAGGTTTCTATGAGGTTTCCCCTCATCCTTACGAAGTCGAGTAAATATAATCCCAACCAACTCAATCTCTCCTCCTCTCTCAGTTCTGCCATCCCAAGACTCAATTTAGTAAACCTTAGCTGCACTCCTCCTACAGCAAGAGCATCCTTCCACAGATAAGGAGACCAAAACTGCACACAATAATACCTCACCAAGGTCTTGTATAATTGCAGCAGGATATCCTTGTCCCTCTCCTTGAATCCTCTCTCTATGAAGGCCAACATAGTTTGTCTTCGTTACTGTCTGCTACACCCGCACTCTATTTTCAGCAACTGGCGCACAAAGACACTCAAGTCTTATTGAATATTGCCCTCTCAATTTGCAGCCAAATAATAACCTACCTTCCTATTTTTGCTACCAAAGTGATCCCCTCACACATTATACTATGCACAATCTATTGATTTTCCCTTATGATGTGTCCTTCTTCCATTGCAGCTATCTAATAGATTTAACTCATCTGCCATACATTTGCACACCCACTCAAACTGTCCAAATCACACTGCAATATCTCTGCATCCTCCTCGCAACTCATCCTTCCAATCAGCTTTGTGTCATCTGCTAATTTTGAGATATTACATTTAGTTTCCTCATCTAAAATTGTTAACATATGTTCTGAATAGCTGGGATCCTAGTATTAATCCATGCAGCACCCCACTAGTCACTACCTGCTGTTCAGAAGAAAACCACGTCCCTACAGATCTTCTATGCTTTTTTGCACTTGAACTTGCAGTTATTGAAAAAAAAAATCAAACAGTGCTGCCCCACCCACCCATCTACCCAGATTGCCACCTTTGGGGATCCGAGATCTGTGTGATTAGCGTAACTAAAAGGTATTTCTTCTTACCTAATCAATCAACTGAAGAATTCTTCCTGAGACAGGGGTTGTTGACTTGCTTGCCGAGCTGGCTTGTTCTCGTTCAGATGTTTCGTCACTATACTAGGTGACATCATCAGTGCAGCCTCCGATGAAGTGATGTTATTCTACTCCGCTTGGAAATATACTGTCTGGTATGTTATGGTGAGTAGTGTCATTTCCGCTTTTGATCTGTATGGGTTTGTATATGGATTTATAAAATACCCATACAGATCGAAACTGGAAATGACACTACTCACCATAACATACCAGGACAGTATAAATTCTAAGTGGAGTAGAATAACATCACTTCATCGGAGGCTGCACCAATGATGTCACCTAGCATGGTGACGAAATATCTGAATGAGAACAAGCCAGCTCAGCAAGCAAGTCAGCAACCTCACCCACAACCCGAGCTACAGATCTTTGCCAAAACTTTATTCTTCCGGAGAGATTTGCTCACTAAATAAATTTCTAACTTGTTTATCCCGGTTTAATGTCAAATTATGGACAGCAATAGTTTCTGAACTGTGAATTGGTGTCACAGAAACAACACATTGGGTCATGCTCTCCTCCCCCTGCTCTGAAACTACACCCCACGCAGGCAGAAAGGCCAAAGCAGAATTTGGCCCCATCCTTGCTCTGCTCTTCTCTGTTCAGGGAGAAGATTCCTACCAGTTCCAACACTATTAACAACGTTTAAATTATGCACAAACTATTGATTTTTCCTTCTTCCATCACAACTACCTCATGAATCCAACTCAGCAGTTATGACCTGGCCCCCAGATTTTTCTCTCTTCTCAAGATATTTTTAAAAAAGTGACATAAGCAGGAGCTTAGCCACAACTCCGTCCTCCCCCTAGCAACTGTCCGAGACTGAACAAGAAAGTTTGTAACCTGCTGTATTTGATCCAAGATGAATTTTCAACTGTACATTTGGGACATCTAACAAAACTATTCCCAGTTCCCTAACATCCATCAACAGCTTTGGAATCTCCCTCTCCCTCATTTTCCTTCTTTGAGATTCCTTAAAACCTTCATCCTCAACCAGGGAGTTTTGGCTAACTGCATGAATATTTCCCTATGTGGAACAATATCATAGATTGATTTATTTCTGAAATGCCTTGAGACACATTAAAATGTGCTACACAAATGCAAGTTGTTGTAGTGAACCATATTTAATGAGTCTTAAGGCAGTAATATGCCAATAACCATAAGCTGCATAATGATTATGTCTTGCTCTTGGGGTTCATGAGTACAGAAGCTATCAATTTCTGTACAGAGTAAAAGGCTTCCTCAGAACAAATTTGAGCTTTTGGTGCCTCTAAGTTTTTTGTATTTGTTAGGGGAAGAAGGAGAGAGAAAGGAGACAGATATTTCAAGCTTTTGTTATACCAACAGCAACAACACAAGATCACCACAGTTGTTTGAAAGACACCTGTTGAAAGACTACTGAACAGAAAGCAAAAATAGGTAGCATTTTGTACAGTTCTATTCAGCCATCATTTTTTGTGAATTAAATCAAGCTTTTTCTCTGTCTGAAATTAAATTCAAAGACAAGAACTGGACTTAAACACTAAACCATAGGGAGCTGAATCTGTAGGAAATTGTAATGCTAATTCATTACTTAGTGTCCTAGCCTTGCCTAATGGGATACCTGTGTCAAATTTGGAACAATTGAACCACACAGTTTGAAGGGGTTAATTGAAATCTTTTAATTAGGCCTGTGCTATCAAAATATACTAATCAGAATGATCTAGAGAAGCTTTTAAAGTCTTACAAATATTTTGAAGTACTGAACATAGGAGGTACAGTTAGTAAGTTTGTAGATAACACCAAAATTGGAGGTGTAGAGGACAGCCAAGAAGGTTACCTCAGAGTCCAACGGGATCTTGATGAGATGGGCCAATGGGCCAAGGAGTGGCAGATGGAGTTTAGATAAATGTGAGGTGCTGCATTTTGGAGAAGCAAATCAGGGCAGGACTTATACACTTAATGGTAAAGTCCTGGGGAGTGTTGCTGAACAAAGAGACCTTGGAGTGCAAGTTCACAGTTCCTTGAAAGTAGCGTCGCAGGGATCTAGGTTAGTGAAGGTGGTGTTTGGTATGCCTGCCTTTATTGGTCAGTGCATTAAGTAAAGGAGTTGGGAGGTCACGTTGCAGCTGTACAGGATATTGGTTAGACCACTTTTGGAATACTGCTTTCAATTCTGGTCTCCCAATTGTAGGAAACATGTTAAACTTGAAAGGGTTCAGAAAAGATTTACGAGGATGTTGCCAGGATTGGAGTGTTTGAGCTATAGGGAGAGGCTCAATAGGCTGAGACTATTTTCCCTGGAGCGTCAGATGCTGAGGGTTGACCTTCTAGAGGTTTATAAAATCATGGGGAGCAAGGATAGAGTGAATGGCCAAAGTATTTTCCCCAGAACGCGGAGAGACCAAAACTAGAGGGCATAGGTTTAAAGGAGAGAGGAGAAAAATTTAAAAAAGGGACCCAAGGGGCAACTTTTTCCATTCAGACTGTGGTATGTGTATAGAACGATCTGCCAGAGGAAGTGGTGGAGGCTGGTACAATAACAATATTTAACAGGCATCTGGATGGGTATACGAATAGAAGGGGTTTACAGGGATATGGATGAAATTCTGGCAAATGGGACTAGGTTAATTTAGGATTTCTGGCCGGCATGGACGAGTTGGACTGAAGGCTCTGTTTCCGTGCTGTACAACTCTGATTCTACTGATGCTACACCAGCAGAGGGGGACAAAACATTTGCAATTACAAGGATCAGTCAGCATAGAAGAAAGTACTTTGTGCCATAATTGAACTTAGCTGCAAATTGTTAAGGTGAAGAAAATAATTACCACAGCGTCTACGTCAAGAGCTGGAGACTGGTCAGTAGGATAAAGTCGAGATACAGGACATTTGAGAATTTTCAATCCATTTTCAACCTTCAAACAGTAATCCTGAATACATTGCAGCCACCACCAGACAGCATCTCTACAATTGTATCGAGCGCATATTCCATGACCAAGTAGATTTGGAATTAGACCATGCCGCAGAGTAGTGGCAAATGCAAGAATTATATTCCTGTAATTAAATTAAATTAAATATTTTTAGTACTGACAGGACTGAAGATTTTTTTTTCCAACAAAGACAACTAATTTTCATGAATTCAACAACAACACCTGCAAAGCAAATGAAGTTGGATATGCAGACACCCAAACTAGCTTGATCACATGAAACTCCACTCTGTTTAATGAAACATTTAGGGTCAAAAACAATAGACTGACAAATAGGCTTTGACATCTAAAGTCTGTTATTTTTTTTTTTAAAAAGCCAAGTATTGCCAGCACTGGAGATCAGAAATAACAGGAAAAAAAACTGCATAATCTCTGTCAGTCTGGCACTGTGTGTGGAAGAGAGAAGTTATAATTTCACATCTTTAGTTCTATTGTTTCTTAGGATGTGACCATATATGACTTGTTTTTGGAAAAGGAAAGCTACTGTTCTCAGGCTTCTGTGGTTGAAAGTGCAGGTTTGTACTCCTGTTGAATCAAAATTCGAATCATGGAAGCATAGGAAGATTACAGTGTGCAAGGAAGACATCTGGCCCAGTGTATCGAAAGATACTCAGCTAGTCTTTTCCTCTTCAAATAAATATAGAATTCTCTTTGAAAGCAAAGACTGAGCGTGCCTTCACCACACACACAGGAGCACATTCCAGATCCTAATCACTTATTACATAAAAATAGATTTCTACGTGTTGCCAGTGGTTCTTTTGCCAATTGCCTTAACCAGCATCCTTGGATTCTTGATCCTCCTCTTTCCACTCTCCACGCCCCCACCCCCCGCCCCAAATGGGAATGGATTCTCTCTACTCTGCCCAGAACCACATGATTTTGAGCAGGTCTGTCAAATCTCTTCTCCAAGAGGCGGCCCCCAGATTCACTAATCAATCCACTTAATTGAAGACCATCATACCTGTACTCTCTCCAATGTCTTCAGATTCTTCCTAAATTTTTCTCCCAGAATTATTCACAATACATCTACTGAGGCTGAATCCTTGTTTTATAAAGCTTCATTATCACTTACTTGCTTTTGTACTCTGAACTTCTATCTATAAGATTCAGGGTGTCATGATGCTTTAACTATCGCTCTGCCATCTTGGGTTGATGTTGCAAGTACCTTGAATGAACAGCTCCATCAAAAATGCAATCTCTAATGTGAATATCTATGAAAAACAGTAACTATTTAAAGACAGAATAGAACAGATAGAGATCCGAGATGATGTGTCACTGGGTCACTTTTAATGATCAGACACCCAAACTCTGGTGAGAGATTGGACAAGTGAGAATTAGAAACCTGTTTTACTGTCAAAATTTCTTACACCTCCAGGACAATAGACCCTCTTATTGCCTCTTGCTTCAAAGTTCCTCCTTCATATCTACAAAGACAGCACTTGGCTAAATAAGTTGTAAATCAAATCGGTTTCCAAACTGGATACATCTTGCGTAAATCAGGTGGTACCTCCCCCTTCCACTTGCTGGAAAATTGTGGGCTGAATCTTACTCTTTTTGGTCCAAATTACATGAGATTTTTGGAGGGATTTGCACTATGACACCAAGGAGGATCTCACCTCATCTTACTAAACTTTCCCCAGTAACTATCTACCCTGACCCCATGTCCAATTTCTGCCTTATTTTACCACACACTGTTCTTGGAAGAAGTCTCCAGTCATCATAATTCCAGAATGCATCAGCAACCCTCATACCTGTGCCATCTTTAAAGACACCATCATGCACCTAGAGAACCACAGTCAGTCAATCTAGAACTGTTCTACACTATTCCTGACATGGCAGGCAGGGGTAAATCAACAATCTGCTGTGTGGGCATGGACCTGCAGGTCCTGGACAGTATGGTGCAGAGGTGGACTTCCTCCTCTCTAAGGTCCAGCAGAGGCAGCCACAACACCAGACCATGACAGCTGGTCTGAAGTTGCTATGCAATATGGACAGTCTCAAACATCTAAAAAGGAATTCACGACAACAAGGTGCAGGGCTGGATGGAGACCGCAGGCCACGC